TGGCGCTTCGTTTAAAGGCTTGGGCTTTGAAAACTTTAAACAAGTTAACCACTTAATTTTTATATCCAACTACTTATTAAGAAGTAGCTTTTGTTGTAAGCCAAAAAAGTTTTCCGATTAATTCGGAACGCAGACTGCAGTGACCTTGACAAAAAGGGCTAGGATTTAATGTCGCAGACATTCCAGTTTGCTCCGTTCGCTTATAATTCGAAAAGTTTTGGGGCCAGTAAACTGGGTAGTGTCTTGGCCAAGTTCCCCGAGTAGCTGGCCATTAAAAAGTTGTGTACTCTCATTTCAATTGCTGGTGCCAACGAAGTTGCTAAGCAAATTATAAACTATGTGCCAATTTGAACTTGGCTGTGCGGCACAAGCGACACAAAGTGTTGCAAGTGTTGCATGCAAAGTCCAATGAAAGATTTTGGCCAGAAAGTTGGTCATTTCAATTGTCATTATTTACTTTTGCAGTTGCCAATAAATGCAAATTGCCTGCCAATTAGATGGCTGGTAAAATAAGGGGGCTTGTGGGCCATGATGAGGCTTATTAAGTGACATGGAAGGGGTAAATATTTCCTGGCTTAAAGTTTCTTGACTTTCGGTCAAATCCAAAAATAGCCGCAGAGATTGCTCAAATAATTCGTTACTCATTTGATGTGTTTTATTGTCGCCATCTCGTAATTAATGCAAATTAGATATGGACCTGCGACGAAATGAGTTTTTCATCAAGTCTAACAACTTAATTAGCTCATAAAAATGACGCCCCCAAGCTGTTAGCCCATCCTCGTCCCCAAAAATCCGCCGTGTTTCTGCGTGTTGCGGCCACTTAAGCGCGGCACAGATTGCCAATGCCGGGGAACCCCCAATCCCCCAGTCCCCCATTCCCTCCTTCCTTCCCCCCTTTTCACTCCCCAGACTCGGTTCCGTTTCCGGAAATGCCGCTCGGGTCGTAGGTCACGGCGTAGGCGCAAAGCTAATTAGTATTAAGTGCTCTTGCGGCACTTGAGGCCATTCCCTAGCCCGGCATTCCGGCTCCAAATGTTGTGGTTGTTGCCGCTCCATCCATGGGCTCCATGGCTCTGGACTTTTGTTGTCGCCCCGGGTGTGGCAAAAAATATTTTTGTGTGTGCGGTCAGTTGTTAAATTCCAGCAAAACGTTCACAGCAAACAATTTTGAAGCTTTATGATCATGTGACTCAAGGCGAAGCGTAAATGCTCTTTTGAAATATATGTTCTGGATGAAAACCAATTACAATCTGCTCAAGCTGTAAACTTGTTTATTGTTGAAATATATATATTCTTATTATTGAAAAAAAAGATTGCAACTAAATTGGGCTAGCATAATTTTGGGAGCGTTGCCGTCAAACAGCACAAGTTTTTAAACTTACAGCAATATATTCTCAGAAATTACATTAATATATTGGCTAAAAAATACATTACAAAATGTATTAAAAAATAATAATTGTTTTTTTTTTCATAATATTTGTCCATAAAGCTTTTTAGGAGTGTTTTTTTTATTTAACATGAAGCAAGCCTATTAAAAATTCGTATGCTCCCGTTATGGACTCATCGAAAAGTCATAAAAGGCCATTGCCATTGGCATGGTCGTACAAGCGATTTAGTACCGCTTGAGCGAACAATGAAGCCAGAGCCAAGACCACGACGAATTCGTATTTTTTGCCTAATTTGTGCCCCACTCCTGTCAGTACGGCTATGATGACAATAATGATGATGACGATGATGGCGATGGAAACTGGCTAAGGCTGCGGTTACAATGCGAACGCAGGGTCAGCAGGTCGTTTCCAAAGCAAATGTTTGATGGCTTTGTTCATGGAGCTGACACACTGTGAACCGTTTCATTTCGTGATGTTAGATTTACACTTTTAGGCGCCTTTTGATTTAAAATAAAATATGAAATATTCATAAAATATATATTCATACATGCCAAAGAATTCCACAATTATCTGGAAACAATTTAACATAATTAAAACAACCATCTAACCCATTTTTCCGGCAACTTTTCTCCAACCATTTTCTAACCAGTGGATTATGATATTAATTTACCCCCAACCCAACCCCATAACTGGTATCCTGTCGAGTTGCCACGCCCATTTGCTGTCTCAGCCTCAACCCCGAGGCACGTAGTCGCTTTACTTTAGTTCAACTCATTTCCGCTGCTCACATGACTTTATGCAATAACATCCAAATAAAATTATCTTATCAGCCACTGAAGCATCCTGCGTGCGGAGTGTGGAGTGTGGGCTAATTTTATTGCATAAAACTTGTGCTTATTGCGTTCGCCCCGCCAATTCCCCTTGCTCCTCGAACGAAAAATTGCACGTTCCGGTCATACAATGCGAACGTGACCGCTTGACCATCGCCGGACCAACAAGAGATCGGACCAACGCACCATGTCCTGTGACATGTCCCATTTCCATGTAATGGACATGGCTTAGGGCCAAAAGCAGCGTCCAAGCTGAATGACTGTAATTCATGGTAATTTTTTGTATCTTTCGGCGAGTGGAGAGGTCGCCACAAGGATGATGACAATTTGCTTGTTGCTCTACGAAATGGATCGTTATTTAAGTACAAAAAGTTGACACAAACATGCCTGCTGCTCTGGACCTTAAGATGTTTCAAAGTTATAGTACAATAATATATAACAAAATATATTACGAATTAATTTAATCAAATAACCAACACTGACTTTGTTTCTATTAAACAACAACTAAAGTAAGTCTTTTGAGGACAATTGAAATATTTCCTTTTATCAAGCCATTTGGTAAACAATCTCAAAATATTACAATGTTATTAATCAACAATTTTGTCAACTTTAGACAAGGTTCTGAATTTGAGCAGAAAGCTTCATGGCCTCAATCATTAATGATTATACTCGGAGCTGAAGGAATGTGGCACCAGGATGCTGACTACTTGCGCACAATGTGGCACGTACTCTGGTTGCAATGAAATGACAACGACGAAAGACGGAAGAACAGCAGATATAAATGCAAATAAACATTGTGTGGCAAGCATTTGTGGCTCGTTACTTGCCAACGCAGAAGGACTCACGTAATGACTGTTTACACGTTGCTTACCTTATTAGTTGAGTATCCTGAATAAATACACTTCGAAAAAGACCATCTCACCATGCAAAGAACCAAGAAAACATCAATAATTTTGTTAATGTGGGATCATAAATAAAAATAACTAATTTTATTTTAAAGAAATTCATACATTCACTACACTTAATTTTATTATTATAATTATTTATTATTTACGTGATGCACTGTGTATTTTTGTGTTTCCTGGCTTTTATCTCTGTTATGCTTAACTTATTAAATTAGCCCGCTTGAGTGGTTCGGCTTGTGTGTGGTTGATTGTCTCCCTGCTTGATGGTTTTTATCCGAACCAAGTCAAATGAAAATTGTTGATTATTTTCTAATGCGCTTCATCAGTTCAGAAATATGAAATATTGTCATTGAAAGACACAATGGCAACATATATATATAAACTTAATTATTTTCACTGAAATTTATTAAAATTATATCACATCACTTGACGGATGGAAATGTAATAAACCAATTGTGATTTATTCGACTCTTGAAGGCATTCAGTTACCAAAGCAAATGAAAAAGTGTAAGGGGAAATTATGGGAAACTCAAATGCCTTAACGGAAACTGGGAGAAAACTGAAGTGTTAGCTCCGACTGACACTTGCATTTGGAGATAAGCAACTGGAAGTTTTTGGTTCGGGTCACTCCCTCATTGCATAGTAAACTCGAATTGCAATCCAACGAAAAGCCTTCGATGCAGCAAAGTTGTCACACAAAACACAAAATGCATAAGGCAGACAAAAGCAAATGCCACTCTAAGGAAAAACATGAAATTTAATATCCAAGCGGATGGCAAGGCCAAATGAAATTTAAAACCGAAAACGAATTTCCAGTCAAACATTGTGCCATCTATACAAATACGTATACGAATACGAGTTTGCATCCAGCGCAGCGTTTGCATAGAGTAGTTGATATAGTGTAAATATTTTGACATGGCAATATGTTGTCACAATCATGCCTGTGTGTTCCGCCTGACGAGTGTTCGTTCCAAATTCGGCCATTGTCGAGCTGAAGATGGAAAGTTTATTTGTTTGCCCATGTCCCAGCATTTGCTGTTAATTTGTTAAAATTTCACTTTATAAATAAAACTTAGCTCCTGAATTTGCTTTCTGACCAAGGTTGGTTGGTGGGCAACGCCATCATTCCGGGTTGTCGTACCATAAGTTTTCCAATTTGCATAACTTCCGCAGCAGTTGGGACTATAAATATGCAAAGGGTTTTACGACCGCACTATATGCAAGTGCCTCAAGAAAACGTTTTCTTGGCCCCAAGCCCCTACCCCCGCAAGTGGACGGAAATGGATAGAATGGCACCCAGTTTTTTGGTCTCTGTTTGTTGTTTAGTTGGTTTCAGTTGCGCTTGAATTGAAATTGAAGAGTCCTAAATTGTGGGAGGCGCAGTGAAAGCTGTTTGCATAGCAGATGAGCGATAAGTCTTGTATCTTAGGAATAAACAGAACAGAGAGTCAAACAAAAATCACACAATAAGCAACTTTGATAAACTTCAAAAAATAATAGATTAATATAAGAGGTGTTTTTTGCGGTTACCTTTAAGTAGGTTTTTGGCAGACAAAATGCATTTTTAAATATAATTCAGGGAAAATATTTTAAACTGTTTTTAAATAGTACATGATTTATATCTTTTAAAATTTGCCTTAGAATTTGATTTCCGTATATTTATGTTAAGTTACCATTAATTTGGCAATTTTGTGAACTACACATGTGTACAATATGTAAACCTCTTTTAAAAAATGTTTTTTGTGTTAGCATTGCCTCAGCATATATCAGCAAATTAAAATTATAATTATAAATCTGGAATAAAATTCTTAAACATGGCTACTAATTTAAAATCTAGAGACTAGCCTTAAATCTAGTTGACTTTTCAACCAGATGTCATTGCTACCAAAACACAACCCTGACGTAAATATCACATTTTGATTGGAAAATTATTAAAATCGAGTATTTCGGAAAGTATCTAAGCGTATATCAAGCTAATTGGTAAGCGAATGGCAGCGGCAGGATTATTAACTATCAACTGATAGCCGAGTATCGCCAGCAAACAACAACCTCGGAATCGAAATTGAACCTTCCAGACATGGGCTTTGACCTCAACAGCATTGTGGGTTTTGTGGACGAGGAGCTGATCTGTCCGATTTGCGCTGACGTCCTGGAAGATCCTGTGCAATCTGCGGGATGTGAGCACGCCTACTGCCGCGCCTGCATCGACAAGTGGTTGCTGCAGAAGCAGACTTGCCCGGTGGACCGCTCCGCCCTTGTGGCCGCCCAACTGGTTCCGGTGTCCCGGCTAATGCGCAACATGCTCTCCCGTCTGAAGATCAAGTGCACCTTTTCCCCAAACGGGTGTCCTCAGATGCTGGCCCTTGAGGACTTCCGCACTCACGTGGCCGCCTGCGAACACAATCCCAAGGTGGTCGTCCTGTGCAACAATGGCTGCGGGATGAAGGTAAATCATATATCCTACTACGCTTCGAAACATAAAAATGCTCTGAGATATATATTTTTAGATTCTAGCCAAATTTCAAAACCATTTGAAGTTTGTGTTTTTTAACTTTTATATTTCGTCATTTATAATTTAATATTCTATTTTGGCAGTTTAAATAAAAAACAATATTTACAATTTTGAAACCTTCTTAAAAAAAGCTTGTATACCAATATTTTTTTAACAATAAAATAACAATCATAAAAACAATTTATTTTAAGAACTCGAATGATCTAATTTTATCAACACATTTTAAAAACAAAATTGCTCGAAGCTGCTATGGTTAATGTAGAGATCTTAGTTGTGTCAAAATATTATATTTGCAAATTTAATTTTATATAATTTTTATTTTAAGATTAAAGTCAATGTGGTTACTGATGACAATATGATATTTTGATGTTCGATATTTTAATAACCCCACCCATTTAAGGTGCCCAAGGACGAGCTGGCACGTCACAATTGTGTGTTTGAGCTGCGCGAGCTGGTGCACCAGCAGATCAAGGAGATCTCCGAGCTGAAGGAGAGGCAGATCAACGAGGAACTGCTCGTGGTGAGCCAGCGCCGGGAGCTGGAGCTGCTGCAGTACTACATTGCGGCGCTGCGGTCCACCAATCCGGTGCTGCGGAACATTGGCGAGCAGCTGGACCGCTTCTCGCTGATGCAGTGGGGCAATGGCCTGCCGCTGGCCACCGTCCACACTTGGGGCAGCCTGATCTCCACGCCGGACACAGCCATGCATGTGATGGTGCGCGACGGACTGCGCTCCTGCGGCTGCCCGATGCACATGCTCAACTTGATGGTGGACCGCTGCCACGAGGACCGCTGGCCCGAGGGCCTGGTGACCCTGGACGTCCGGCGGGAGAACCACCACCGCATGAGCCAGTATGTGACCCGCCTGGTCCCGCCACTGGCCAGCGGCAAGCCGTGCGTGGTGGTCCTGGGCAGCGACAACACCCACATGCCGGAGAATCTGCGCCCCAGCCTCGGACTGGTCATGATCTTCGTCGACGGCGTGGATGAGGTGCAGCAGGAGCCGCTCCCAGACATCGAGTTATCCTAATCACATCCGTATATTTCACATCTAAATTCACTTTGGTAACACGAAACACACAATCCACAATGGCAACCCATTTCCCACGTAGTTGCCTTGGCCGTTTTGCTTTTAATATCTAAAAATTACACGATATACGTAAGTTCATCATCTGTCCAACGGCTATCAGTTGGTATTTCTCGTCTACAGGAAAATACACTTATTTTAAACAGATATTTAAACAGTGTTCAAACTCTAAAGAACTTGCTTCTAACTTACAATAGTAATTTTATAGCAACTCAGAGTGAGATTATTCTTATTTATGGGCTTAAAAATAAAAACTAAATCAAAAAATATAATTCTTTTTTATTTGTCTTTTGTAAAAGCCATTTTAGTCAGCTTTTGTGATTGCAATTTCAATCACAAAGCTTAAGCTTTGGCCAACAGCTAAAATAATAAATCCTAAATACAATAAAACTGCTTTATTAAACTTTCTATGATAATAAGGTAAAAAACGAAAAATAATGGGTAAATAGTGTAATATGTTGTATAAACGGAGTACAAAGTCACTCAGAGCTTAAAGTTGCCATTAGAGCTGACAGTTATTATTCTCGGCAATTACGCGGCAATTACAAGAGCTCAGTGAACACCACGGCGTATGCGTAATGCTCAAGCGAAATTAAATAAACGCATAAGCCGGGATTGAGGTGGCTCCTTCGAGTGGGCTGGTTGGATGGTTGAATGGGCTGCGGTGGGTGCATCAAGTAAAACTTATAATGGAAATGGTAAAAGTTTGCTGCGCTCAGTTCGCGGCAGTTGGCGACACCATTTCGAAAAGTTTTACAAATTGTACAAAATTTAATTTCCCAGCTGTGATAAATTTTCGGGGCTATTACAATTTTAGCTTTTAGCAATTGAAAACAAGATCTCAGATCAAATGAAAGTTAATGGACTGCGAAGAGGGCTTTTTGCGAAGCCAAAAACTGAGTGTGTCGCCCTCATCTATGCAAATATTGTCCATTGAATGTGTACGCAATCTGAGCGAAGAATAGTATACACCGAATTAGTGTCAAATCAAACACGACTCTTTGAACTAATTAAATGGCCTGGCAAACACAAAGGGCATGTACGGCTAACTTGATTAAGCCAAGGCGACAGTACAAAGGACCGGCTAACTAACCACCTAATGCTGCAGCTAATGCAATGATATAGTATGTAGATGCCGGCACCTGGGAGCCTTTAACTGGCTGCAGGCTCTGCCTCTGCAAAAACCGACGCCTAATGCAACAAAAGCCAAAACTTAATTAATATTTACATGGGTCCTCCTCTCCTTCGTTGGCCGAAGAAAGCCAAAGGCTCAGACAGAGAGCTGCTGTTGTGGCCTTATCTAGTGTGTTTGGGGCTGTCATGTTTGCATATGTGCAGGCGTCGCTCTTCCTGCAGGCTCCACCACGATTCCTGCCCGGCAGGACTCCAAAAGGCGTTGATGGCGACGTGGTCGGGGATGGGCAACTCCTCCTGCATGGCTGCTAGAAATCAATTCGCATTGTTAACCCATGATTGGATATTATTGATTCAATTTGCAGCCAACCGACCAAAACATGTTTTATGCATGCCCATGTCCTCTTTTTCCCCCTCGCCCTCTGTCTGATGGTGCATGTGTGCCGATAATGTCCTTCGGTATCGATAATGGTGCACATGCACGCTCGCACACTAACACCAACACCCTCGTCCTCGCACACACTCACACACTCACACACACACACACCCACACACGCACATGTAGTTGGCCAAACTTGAAGCTCAACTAAGTTTAATTTATGCATGTGTTGCACTTGACTGTGCCTTACAGTGGGTCAAAATTGTTGTAAGTATCATTTAAACATTTCTGTTGATTTATTCCAAGTACTAAAAGAAAACCAAACTCTTCAGTTCCTACCACATGTTACGGCGTTCACCTTAATTAAATATTTTCTGTAAACTTTAACTTAAATCTTGTTTGGTATTTACATTTCTTTTTAACATTGAATTGGGTATTTCTGAGAAGGTCTTGAAACTTCAAAAACTAAAACTAAAAACGCATTTATGTCTTCAACCGAATTTTAATATCTTCTATAAACTAAAAGCGAAGAAAATGTATTTATCTGCTTTAAATGGCAGATTACAAGAATTTTTCGTAATTTACTTATATTTTCTGCATATTGTTTTTATAAATTGTTCTGTTTTGACTTCATTGCCATACAGTTAAACGTATTGTTATGTTAAGCTCAAAAGCTAACATTGTCTCCACAGTGATGACTTGTTTTCAACCATTGATAGAGGTGAACAATAGCTGTTCCCCTTACCACATCCTTTGCATTTCTCTGACAACGTCTGAATTGTCGTCGCTCCACCTTATTATTTCTACTGGCAAAACAGGCTTTACATGAAATCTGACTATTTCTATTGTTATTGGAACAGAGAATAGATCAAGACAGCATCGTTATACTTCTAGTTGGATGCAAGCAATGTTACCAATAAAATTTTGTGCCTTGTGAGGAACTCTGGAATCTGGAATAATCAGCTGATTGTCGTAAATCGATGCCTGCCCAGGAGTATATAGTGCGATAGCACAATACTAATCACCCAAAGGTAAATCACCGGGGCAGCACAATGGAAAATGTGGCGAGAAAAATATGCAACAGCAACGGCCTTCTTTGCCATGGCTAAAAATGTGAAAAGGCCAGAAGCCAGTACCAGTACAGCACAAAAAGGCCAGCAAAAACGGGGAAACAGCAGTAAATTGGCGGCGATAAAATTGAAAACCGCTGGAAGCTGCGCTAACCGACGATTTGGGCCAGTCTTTGGACCCGGGACCACCTGGAGGTGCAAAGGCAAAGTGAGGAAGTCGGCGCGTTGAGTTGTGAAAACCGAACGGAAATAGCGGCCATAACTCGCCTGCTGGAGCCCAGAAAATCGCCATGGAAAAGCTATTTCGTGGGCTCCACCTTGCCCTGGTCGCCGTAACCGGCACGAAATGAATCGCCCTTGTGGGCGGCAATATTGGGTAGCTTTGATTAGCGGAGATTGGCAAAGGTAGCAATAGCGGCGTATGACCGATATGCCGAAAGCTGGGTGAATAAGCAGCCATGAAAGGTGTGTAGGCGAAGCCTATGGGCAGGGCGTAGGAATGTGTTACTCAAAAAATAAGTTGCGTAAAACCAGAGCGATTAATTACAAATAAACCAACTAGTTAAAAAGTGTATGCAGTCCAAAGAATAATTTTAATGAGATTTTTTTCATATTTTTAAATGAAACATGAAAATTGAAAAATGAATTTCTATATATATATAGCCTATAGGCTTAAATAAACACAACTATAATTCGGCAGTCTGGTCTCCAACTTTTCCTTGGAAAATCTAGAAATTCCACTCGCTGTGAGAACATTCTATACACAAAGAATTCGACACAACCGGAGGCTGTGCCACACACTCGTGCAGACCAGATCCACTTGTGACCAATTGATAAATATATCACCTGAAGTGTCTGTGAGCTGCTAAACGATTTATTCAATTTATGTACCTATCCATGGACCAGCCCCACTACCATCAATTCAATGCTCTTACGGGGGAAAAAAAGTAATAAAAATGTAATGGCATTTATTAAGTATTCATTAATTTGATTAACGACCTTGCTGAATATTTTTATTTGAGTTGAAGAGTTTTTCGCTGGCAAAGCTGTAAAATTTATTAGAGTGTGATTCAAGTAGAAGTAAGAACGTTAAAAAATCTGCCTTTAAAAAAAAATTCTTTTTCTTTATGTTTTGCTTTGAACATCGTTTTGTCATTTGAGTATATTTGCCGATCACTTCAATTTTCAGCAGCAATTTTCGCACTCAATGCAATCAGCTTGTTTTTCCTGCAGCGATTGTTGCTAATGCGCTTTAAGTAGCAGCATGCCACGCCCATGCATTCGCCCGCAGGAATCAATTGCCCCTAGATGGTCCCAAAAAGCCATTCGGTGGGCCACTGGGAAGGGTTTCGTTTCTTCTACCCAGCTCCTCTTTTTGGCAATTTACTGCAATTGCATCACGAGCAAAAAAACAGAAACTTTCGTTTAATGCCCACACTTTTGGGTGTCGTTTCCAGCATGACACCAGCAGAAAGCAGAAAATGCTCTTGGATTTCAGCTAAATGCTGATCCCTAAGGGGCAATAGCCGGCAAGCTGGGAAAGAAGATTGGAGAGGATTTTGAGACAATATCCATGCAGTGAAAGCAATTCACTCAATCGCAAGACCAGCGACTGGATTAGTCTTAAAGTTGTTTCTTAAAGTTTTAATGGATACAACAAATATTTCTCTATTTTATTTTTTTCTTCTTCATTTTATACTTTTTGACAATAAGTAATTAAGTTTTCTAAATTTTAACAAATCTGAGAACTCTGTTCTGCTGAAATTTTATATTTACACATATAAAGAATTTTACACAGTAAGTATTGCCTATGATGTTGTCACATATTAATAAATAAAAAGCAAGCTTAAAATTAATCAACAAGTTCATTGAGTGAAGCTAAACTTATTCGAGTTCGCTTATACCAGTTTTATTCAACACCAAATGAAATTTACCAACCTTAAGTGATTATCTTTCGCTGAGCATTGTGTTCGATATTCTAAGATTATAAGAATTTTAAAGATACCCAAGGAATGAGTCCTATTCTGTATGTATTTGTAAGTAAGACCCTGAAAGGCGCACTTGACGAAATGTTGAGTAATGCGCTTTTTGTCAACTTTGCCGACGACCTCGTCATCATCGGATTATCCTTTTGGCCTTTTTTTTTGGTCTTTTCAATCCGCTGCTATTCCCAACACCCACACTTTTGTTAATGTGCCAGTTTACGGAGATGGTCAAGAGAAATTTGTGTCAGCTTCTGATAAAGAAGTCGGTCAAGCTTTAACTCCAACCAGTCTAACCACTTGCGAAATTTTGCGAGCTCTGGGACAATAGCATATTAGTTATTTTACTTTTCGGTTTTATGCAGTTAGTGCTGTTGCTTATTTTATTCATGACGGTAACTACTTGCCTGGGAATTTAACTCTCTGTGTGTGTGTATGTGTTCCACGTTGGTCAGATGCCCCGTCCTTTCCGAACTGCCCCCGACTTGGTTTTAAGTTTCCGAGTTATGTTTATCTAAATGATGCCAGCAGCCAACGCTGCGTATGTGGAATATATTTTTTATTGTGGTTAGCAGTCGGTTGTTGCCAGTTTCAAGTTGTGTGGTAGCTGCTTTTGACATTGGCCAAGGGGATGGAGTCCGAAATTTTAGTGTGTTTCACCAGATAAGCCAATTTATGCAGTTCTTCTTTTTGAATATGCGTGTTAATTTGACTGTGAAAGTTCTGCGTGGCTTGGAACAGGAGAAGTTGGGGCTTTGCAATGCGGAAACTGGTCTATGGTCCTTTGACGGCAGTGGTAATGGCTGACACTGTTGTGGTCGGTTGGTTAGTTCAGGTTTAGAAGTCTCTGCAGCTGTTCATTGAGTTTAATGAGTAATAGCTGTATATTTTTTTTTGAGTACAAAATTTTAAAGTACAAAGAAAGAACTTTATTTAAATTATTTAAGACATGGTTTAAATTCAAGTATATCTTTAAATATATTTAAAATATTTTTTTATAATAATGTTATAATATTTTTTTAAATCAATGTGTTTATTTTTCTTGTGTTAAATAAATTTGCTAACTTTTCAAAAAGACAATGCTTCATAGTTATGTGTTGAAAAACATTTAAAGCTAATCGCATTTTCAGGTTTTATAACATGCTTGGGGTAATGTTATTTGTAGAACTACATTCAAGTATTCTGATAGTAGGGATTTGGGTTAAGAATATAATTATCATCCACAGGGGCATCAGTTCTAGAGGTTAGTCCCCAAGTTAAGGAAGTGGGACTTCCCGATTGGCCCTTTCCAGTGGAATTCTCTCTGAAACCGAGAGTTCATCCATTCTCTCGGCCGATGAATTTCGAAAAACCGAATGACGGCCGAAAGCCGAGGCCATGGGACCACGAAGCGGCATCGTCGTTTGGGCCATGACTGGGGCTTTTTAACCAATGAAGTCCTCCGCCCGTTCAGTCGTGAATCGGGCTTTCAACTGAACGGACGGTCTGCGCCCAGCGAGGGTCGATACGAAACTATCTGACGTGCGTTTGGCTATTTGCGATTTGCGATCACACGCGAGTGTCCACTGCGAAATGTTACTCGGTGCGTTGTCGTTATCCTTGCCGCTGTCGTTGGTCCTGCCGCTGTCATTTGCCGGATTTTGGCAGCCCTCGCCAAAGTTGTGAGCGAGTGAAAGTTTTGTGCATTTGTCGTGCGGCGACTTCGGTTTACCATTACTCTAACATTCGCATTTGCGTGCTTAATTTGAAGTAATTACCAAATTTTTGTTGCCTTGCGAATAGTTTTACAGTGGCTCTAAGCTGCTGGTCCCACCTTTTGACGACATGTGCCACATTTATTTGCACTTTGGAAAGAGAAAAGATAAGGTTTTTGCTCACTGATCATTTGTATGTTTGGGTGGAACATAATAATATAATACTGAACTTATTGTGGCTTCGAAATTTGTTCTTAAATTCAATTTATGTTCAATCACCATCTCTGAAAAGTCAATGCATATAACTTCTGAGTAAAAACCTTAAACAATATTACTTTTTTAGCTGTGTAACATTTAAGAAAAACTTGTGACTGGAAAAATATATTTGTTTATAGCTTAATAATTATGTCGGAGTGTTTTATCAATTTGTTAGGAAAAAGTTTTGTTTAAATATAATATTTTCAAAATTTTCCCTTGCATAAAATCTCTGAACTATTTGAGGGTTATATTTTTCAACCCTTGATTGACAAACTATTTCTTTCATGACGAAAATACTTTGCACTTCCCACGACACAGCAATTTAACCATAATTTATGGGTTTTACACTCGAAATAAATTGAATGCAGTTGTAATACCCTAATTTGTCAGCAATTGTGAAAAAGCCCGCAAAAATCCCAACACCAAATCCTTTTACTGGAATGCAACAAACTAAATGGCCATAAAAACCGCTTACGAACGGTGACTGAGGGCATCTGGCCAAGGGAATGGGAACGGGAAAGGGATGTTGGCCATGTTGAGACACAAACAAAGAGCCGCCATGTAACCAGCAAAATAATTTGTTGCAATAAATATTTGAAAATCCAGTTAAGCGAAACATTTTCGTCACGAAGAGGGCAACTGGCCGCAGGGTCTAAGAACTCCGCAAAAAATGCACTCTGAGCCAAGAGGGAGGAGGAAAGGTTGGATACCAGGGCTGTTACAGAAGTCCTCGGCCCAGGCTTTGAGTTGGTGGGATGTAGTCGCCGCCTGGAAGAATCTGGATAGTGTACAGGGTAGCCAGGTTTACCTCGGCAGGAATCAGCAGCACACATTTTATGTTTATTATTTTTTCAGACACCTTTTAATGTAAGGTCAAAACCAGAGTGGTATCTTAGGCACACCCGATAAACTTTGAACTTCCGCTTATATCATATTTAAAATTTGCTTAAATTAAAGAACTAAAATATATTTCAGAAGGCAAATAAATACAGTTTCAATTTAAATAAGTTTTCTAAATTAACAAATTATTTTTGACTCTAGTAACCTAATTGTATAAAGTCAACACAAACATTATTTTGTAAGGTATTTTTTTTATTTATTCAGATCGCGACTAGTGTTGCCTTTGAAAAATAAAGTGATTTTTTTTGGCACTTCGTAAACATAATTTTTACTTACATAACCGAGTACTGGGTAGCACAAAGATTGATCAGAAAATTCCCACCTCTCCACTAAATACATATATTTTCGTGTTTTGTGTGGCACTTTCATGCAGTTGCCGCTTTTTGCATGCCCCGCATGCCTTTGGCGATACTGCTGCTGTTGCACGCCGTGTTGCATTTTGTTGGTGGTACTGTGCTGCCGGGTCCTTTGGCTTTTGTGTCTCTATACCGGACGCTTTAATATTAAAAGCGTTTAAAATTTTCGTACGTTTCGTCGCCATTGTTACGTTTTTCTGGCTGATGCCCCGCAACGAATCACAGAAAAAAAGGAGAAATCCCCTCAGCCTGCGATATCCGCAATCCCTTTGTCGGGGGGGAATAAAAAGGGGGCGACTGTTGCACCGCTGTGGGGCAGCAACACTAACAAGCTTTGTTATGTTTCGCTGTTGCTTTCGAGTTTGCGTTTGAGTTTGCTCAACGTTTTGCCAACTGTGCGAGAAAGTCGCCCGCAGCGTCGGAAGCGGAAACGGAAGTGTTGCCATTGCCATTTTGCTGGCATCGCCATTGCATTTTCGGTACGCTCCGTTCGCTGTTTGTACTTGCGTTATTGTTTTGTGCCAGTGCCTTTCGATAATACTCCTTTTTAGCTTTCCGCCTGCGAAAATGTTGCCAGGCACTGTCCGCTTTTTGCCTCAACTTTCACGGGCTTTCGGGGGCACAAAAAAGTGGGTGCACAAAAGTTTCTGACAGGTGGTTTGTGTGTTACGTGCCTGCTGTTTACTTTGTGTAATCATTTCATTTGTCAGACTTGATTTGCCAGCAAACAGAGCGTTGACAGCTTGACGTTGCAAATTGAGATTTTGACGAAGGGAATTTTGCAATGGGGCCAAGAACAGGGCTTGAGTCCATAAAAACTAATTAAACAACTTGTAAATAATATTTGAGAAAAATATATTTAATTAAATGATTTCCCATTTTAATTTCCAAGTAATAAATAATATTTAACTTAAAATAAAGACCTTACACCAATTGTCGTTGAAGGTTTTGTTAGAAAAGGGACTCCTATAGACGCAATCTAAAATTTACACTACTCAACTGCCATTTTTACTTAAAATGAGTTAAATGATTTTCTATTTTCATTTCCAAGTAATAAACAACATTTAATTTAATATAAGGAAATAAAACTGTAATATAAAACACAATCTAGCGTACCACTTGAAATCTACACTACTAATCTGCCATTTAAACTTTAAGTGTTGATTTTCTTCGTTCCCCACTCACTAAGAAAAACAATCAAAAAGTTAAAGACCAAAGTTAAATTAATGGTGAGATAAAATAGAATTTCCGTCGACAAATCAAATTACTGTCTGCCTGCTGTCTGAAGATATTTTATCCGGCTGAGCCGAAGTCTAAAACGCTTCAAATTAACGCACCGAGAATTAACTTCGACGGCGCTTGGGGGGAAATGAGGACACAAAATTCAAAGTAAGCAAACAAAAGTCGGCGCAAAGTCAGAAGTCAAAAGGCAGGGGCCAAACTATGTACGAAATGCGCGTGTAAACAGCAGTAGCAGCAATGGCGGCAATACCAACAACTTTTGCCACGCATCCGGATCCGGATTCCGGATTGAGGGTTCATGTTCGGGCTTTGGGTGTCCTGACTTGGGGCAGATTTCCCCCGAAAAGTGCTGGCAAGCTGGCTCGTCATCATCATGACGCTCCATTTCAGTCGCGTTTGGTGTTGATTGCAGTCCCTCTGTAGTTGTAGTTGTTGCTGCTGTTGATTACGCGACGTTTAAGTGATTAAAGGTGAAAACGTTTGGCGACCAGTGAACACCGTCTCCTCCCACTAATCCTCGAACATTTTTGGCAACTTGACGCTGTAGTGTTGAACGCTTTTCCCATTACCCGTTGCAGAAGGAACGTGAAGGTAAAGGATTTCCAAAGCCATGGCCGAGCCGCACTGGCTGCCACGCCCCCAGTTTCGCCCACGCCCTCAGGTTAATGTCCTACAATTGGCCACCGCGATAATGGCCACTGTCGCGGTTACCATGCTGATGACAGCCACGCCCACACTCGCCGAAATCCCAGCAAAAGGTAAGTGCTTTGATAATTTAATGAGCCGCTCTTAATGGGCTTCTTAGGTTGATTGATTGACTGTTGGACTGGCATTGGGCAGTCAAAGAATAGTGGAAGGCACTCAGTTTTGAAAAATATAAATAGGTTAAAATCAACTTTAATTGGGTCGAAATTCTTTCACAATTTATAGGGTTTCACTATAGCTAATTAAAATTTAAGCTCTTCTAAGGAAAGTTTTTCTCTTTCCAATCGATTTTCGAATGATAAATAAAATAAATAATAAATAAATAAATTAATATAGGAGAAGTTGTTATTATAAAACAAAATACACGTTTATTTAAATAAATTGTTTTGGTATTTTAACCAAAAGTAATATAACAAATGATTTCGATTTCTAACTCCATTTCTATTTTTTTTTTAATTTTATGTATAATATATTTAGAGTTTATTTTTTAAGTCAGAAATGGTGTTATTGGAATGAAAACCTTCTGCCTATTTTATTCTCTCTTTTTTCCAAACCCTTTGCCACACTTGCCGCTAGCACTTGCTCACATATATCACTTTACTTCTATTAAAAACTAATGGACTTCGTGATTTGGCTCCGTTCAGAAAAGTGTTTGTTTACCTTGGCCATTAAAAGCCATTTCCGAAAGAGAAAATAAATCTAGTCTTTGTTTGTTGTTGTTCTTGCTGTTTTCTAAGCCTATCTAAAAAGTTGTTCACGTCAAAATGGCAAATGACAAAATTGTGCATGTTTGAAAAATTTATGAAAACAATTTCCCATTTTGCTCCGCCGGCCGTTCTAAAGAGGCGTGTTTTATTTGCATATTTGTTAAATTTATCTTTGGCTAAGCAAACGAAGTGGCACACAGATACAAATACAGCGTAGTATGCTCCGGGATGTTTTGTGACATAATCAAATATGCTTTAAGCCAAAGCCAACAACTCAACCCTTTTGAAGTCGATGCCAACAAAATGAATGAACTGCAGATAAAAGATGTTGGCCCCTGCCCTGTCATGCTTGTTCAGTTATTTCCACACACACATATAGTATATATATTTTGCAGCAACATTTTCCCCGGCCCCGAGGGCGGGAATTTTCTTATTTCCTTCTTATTCCTTCTATTTTATGAGCAAGGAAATGCAAATGCTTACAAGACGTTTAACATGTCACCTGCGGGCAAAAGACGCTCGCAAAATGCTCTCCACACTTATCTGACAGTTGTGCATCTCTGGCCCTCGCCATTTCCCACATAACTGAGCATCGGGCATACGTATAAAACACACATTTGTTTGTCCTACCATGTTTGTCACTTATCATTTGGTCCAATGTTTTGCAGCTGAGTGCCACCTCCCCGGCACACCATCTTCCCGATTTCCACTTCAACTGGGGCCGAGATAACTGTGTTTGCGTGTATGAGGAGATATATTATGATTTTATGCATGGTTTGGCCAAGAATAACTATTTTCCCAATGCTGAAAATATGAAAAAGTGCCTCTGCTAGCTGGCGATCTTATTTGGGAAGACGCATTTCTCTGTGCAAAAATTGAACAAATAATTTACTGGTTTTCAAAAAATATTTTAAAGCTTTCTTAACTTTAGTTAAATATTTTATTCAGTATATTTTAAAATACCGCTTTAAATATTTTTGCTTTTAAAGTATTGCTAGCAACGTTAAAATAACTTCATAAATTTAACTTGTTGGATTTAATATTCCTGTGACACAACTTTTGCATTTTCCACGCATTTTTCAAAAACATAAAATTCTTCTGTTTTTCTGTTTTTCTGTTTTTTACTTATTTTCCTGGCGATTTCAACTCCCAAAGTACTAAAGCATATTTTATGACACACTATTTTCCTGTTATTTCCGTTTGTCGCCTCGCATTATTTTCAGCATTTTATGGCATTGCTTCCGTCATACGTTTTTTTCATGTTCCCCATTTTCGGCTATTTCATTGCTATTTAAGGCGATATTTCTTATTTAATTTTTTTTTCGGGTAGCTCACTATATGTCCTTGACTGGGTTAAAAGAAGTGGCGAAAATTCCTTCTCCGAAAATTCTTATTATTATGAGCTCGCGTGTGCATCGCCTGCATTTTTCCCTATTACTTACTTCCTTGCACTGCCGGCCCAAACTTATTAAAATTGTTCGACGCCGCAGTGGAGGTCGTTGAAGGGGGGTGGGAAATGGGGTGACCGACCAGCCCTTGGTATTGCAATTTATGTTTTAAGTCTGAAATTCCCCAAATAGTTTCGCGTGCTGCAAATTGTTAACTCAACTAATCAGCATAAAAATGCAGCCCAAAGACCGCAAAATGGTGTTTGTAGGAAAGTGTGGCGAAAAGTGAAAGTGTTTCGAGTTTTTTTTGAGGCACGAAGAGTTTTTCAAGCGGCAGGAAAATGAAGTGCAAAAACGATGTGTAAACCATAAGCCATTCCAGACATTTGGATTCTGCTCATAAGTGTAATGAAATCGATACTTTCATTTAATTCTATACATCATAATTATGTGCTATTAAGGGAACACAATTATTTAAAACCATCATTATTTTATTCAATTTATGATAAGACATCACAGGTATATTTTCCTTTAATTTCAATTTAATTTCCACTCACTTTAAAATATGTGGCCATAAAATGCTCATTTACGTGGCTAACGAGCGGCGGCGGGAAAAATGTGGTGCTTATGTAATGCCGCCCACACTCACACACATTTTCAGCCCCCCCAATCAGCCAATAAATAACGCAATATATGAACGATAAGCATATTCAAAGAGTAGCAAATAACAAGAAATGGTTTTTCAGCCCCAATAACAATAATTCAAAATGGGTCACCCCAATACGTTTCCGAATTTGCCCTCCCCCTTGGCAAATAAAGCTAATTTATAAAAACAAACGACAGCAACAGCAGTGCTATATTTCCAGAGTAACGTGAATAAATCGAAGAACAAAACATCTTTAACGACTGTCGAATGTTGCTATTGCCTTCTTTTCCAAAGAATTTCAGGAAGCCATATGGACGGAATGAAATATTACACTTTGTTAACTTATTAGAGTAATTTAGGTACAACTTAACGAGCAGTTGCGCAAATTTTAGCTCTAATTAGTTTAAATAAATCAGCTTACCCATGTCCATGCTCTCTTGTCACCACCTCTTCTTGTCATTATTTTGATAGGTTCAATGGGCTTTGTGAGTACCCATCATAATTCAAAATTTACTTAATGCAATAGGTGCAAGGGTATATAAACTTCGGCTTTCCAAAGGTTACTTCCTTTCTTGTTTAATGTTTAATTCTGATTTAACAAAAAGGCAAACGCGTTTTAAAACGTGCCCTGTTCTTTATTTTGGCATATATAACCCTCACAGATCGAAGATATTTGCTGATGCAGCTGTGGTTACAACCAAACTAGAACATAGGCTAGATAGATGTCAGCACATGAACTTATTGCGCCAAAGGTTGATGATGAGCTCCCGTTTCCTGTTCGACCAGACAGTGGGAATAGATCTCGGTGGATCGGAGTACGCAGGACTGTCCTCCACAGCGCAGTGCGTTAGGCCCGAAGTGGGCAATAAGTTGGACACTCTATTGCAGGACCTCTGGTTGGAGATGAGAAGTGAATGATCTTTGGAGTAGCTCCTGGCCTCCTTGCGAGCCGCTGCCCGGCAGCAACATCCCTCCGCGGAGGCCTTTTTCATCGGCTTGCTCCTGCCAATAATCTTGGGTCGGACTATAAAACCTAGACCCATTTGTCTCACCAAAAACTCCTGGGCAGCCCTCATCTGCTGCTGCTGCTGCTCCTCCTCCCAGCCCTTCTCCTCGGCCATGATCTTGAGGATCTTGGGCAGCATGTGCAGTGCGGCGGCAGCATCCACAAAGGCAATGCGCAGACGCCGAGCTATGATGTCCACCAGAGTGCAGGCGTACTCATTACGCACTGCATACTGTACCTCCGCCTCGATATAAGGGAAGTTCGGATGCAGGCGCTTATTCAGTTCCGGTGCCTGCGAGAATAGAGCATGCCCATTGTAGCCATACGAATCGGATATATGCTGCGCCACATCCATGGGCACATCGTAGTCCTGAACGAACTCCAACGGCAGCATGCAGCACCAGTACTCGGCGCCGTCCAACTTCAAGTCCTGTGTCCAGCTGGAGGTCACATGATCAGCGCACAGGCCACAAGATTGGATGGCTATATCGACGGCCTCGGCGGCCATCACGCGATAGCTGCTCCAACGACCGCCGGCCAGGGTGATCAGACCCCCGGCACCCACCTCGATCAGGTAGCTGCTGATGGGCGAGCCCCGCATGGCCTCCACCTCGTCCTCCGACTTGTCGGTGGGACAACTCACACTGGGCTTAATGCCCGTCCAGGCGCTCAGCACGTGACACCTTCCGAGTTCAACGCAGGGTGCCATTCTTCGCTTGGCTGCCTCCAGCAGGCAGTCCACGTCATCGGGCTCGGGACTGGGACTGCCGCGACCCGTCACTTCGTCCAGCTCCACCTCGCGAACGCCCAGCACCATGTGGTCCTCGAACGGCACCATGTAAATGGTGAGATCATCCTTTTTCAGCGCCGGACTCAGCAGGCCATAGTGGCCGGAGCCAAAGTACTTGGGCAGCGAGACCTGGGTGTCTAGAGTGGGCACCAGAATGGGAGCAGTGCCCTCGGTGTCCAGTTTCCGAATGGCATCTGTGCTCGAGCCCGTGGCATTGATAACCGCCTTTGATTGGATGTAAAACTGTTGGCCGGACAACTTGTCCTTGACTGCCACCACGCGGCAGCAGCCCTCCTGCGGCAAGAGGTCCACTACCTCCAAGTGGTTGGCCACATTGGCGCCCAGAGCCACTGCGGTCATGACCAGAGCAAGACACATCCGGGCATCGTCCACCTGGCCATCGTAGTAGACCATGCCGCCGCGCAGACCCTCTGTTTTGAGCAGCGGAAACTCGTACAGGGTGGCCTCCCTGGAGAGGAAGTGCGAGCCACGGATATTCGAGGCGGCAGATATCCA